AATTAATAAAAACACAAATTATTATTTATTTTTAGTTTGCATTGTGATAAATTTATAAATATGATCAACATTAAAAATTGTTTTGAACACAACGGGCAACAGCGGTTGGCATAGAACGGGTACAATTTAATACGAATGTTTTTCGTATTTATTACCTATTAAGTTATTCACACCAAATTTGTTTTAAAATAATTWATTATTTACATCACAAAATAATTTTAAAAACTAAAATCAAAAATTTGAAGTAAAATATCATAGTTTTAAAATTTTAATAGTTTGCTTTTAAATTAAAATGTCTATAAAATCCTATGGGCTATGAGGTGTCCTAGATAATATTTCGCCTTAAAGTTGGATAATAAGTCGATTTACTCTCATATCAAAGGTAATCATACAAAATTGAATTTTCTGAATCCAAATTTTCTTGTTGTAGAGAGAATAAACAAAATAGTGCTCTGACATCCTCTTAAAATAATAATTATTATTATTATCTTAGGACTACAGTAGTTATCTAACTTGTTTTATTAAACTGATTATTGAAAATTTAACAATTTTTGATTATATTTAACAAAAAATTCTTAACAAAGAGAAGATTTCTAGAAACGAGCATCTATGTTACCTTAAATATTGTGAAATATATCATATAAGTATACGTTTAAGACACCAAAATAATCACAAAAAAGTTCGACTGGAGTTAGTTTAAAGTAAATAATTTCATGGAGAAATCTATTATGAAATACTTATTGTGACTTAACAATAAAAACATAAAATAAATACACCAATAAAAAACCTAGTAGTTATTATGTATAAAGTCAACCAATTATGAATAATACCATACAAGAATTAGTCAAACAAAATAAACATGAACCTCGCTTTAATCAAAATATAAGGACAGAATTACATTTTAACATGATATAATACCTGTATTTAAAAAAAAATTACTTTCAGCTTACTTATATTGCCAGGCATTTATTTTTATTATAATTAGCTATATGACTATTTGAGCCTATATAAATTGGTTTATATCTTTATTWGGATATCAGATATACGTTATATACATCGCGTTATTTAAGACATATAATATGATATGGTCGTCGCTTTCCATTATCACACAAACATGACCCAATACTGTAAAAAATGCAAAACCCAATACCACACAGTTTTTGAAAAATATATATAGGCTAATTTCGCAAACAAAATTAGTGCAATACTATAAATTACTGAGATACAATAAAACCATATGGCTGGCACAAATGYCTGTTATCGATCGAAAAAGTTTTTCAGTTATATGAACTAAAGCAAAAAAAAATTGTGGTCTCCGTCTTACAAGTGTGTAACATAGTACATTTTTTGCTCAGCAGAACACATGTAGCTCCGTTAGCTTAAAAATT